GACTATTACAGAAGGGCTGTAAACATTAGTGTGAGGGTTTTCATGAAAACATACATTTTCATCTCAGGGTGGTAAATTCCCTGGAACATGATTGGCCATAGAATGAACAGTATTAGCTTTCTATACTTTGTAAATTTACTTTTAAGTGGTTTTTTTTCTTGATATTTAGTTTCTTGAGTTCTCCAAGGGCACTTATGGCACAAGGCTCATCAACTACTTCAGAGCAGATCTCATGTTCTGGAGTAGTTGACCAATAAATAATAGATAATAATAGATTCCATAGTGGTGTGTGTGTGTGTGTGTGTGTTTTATTTGGTTACAGTTTGGTATCTTTTGTTTTTCTTTTGAATGATGTTGGAGTTTATTTTCTAGGTTTTGGTGTTTTGTTGTTGTATTGGGCTTTTGGTGTGTTCTCTGCTGTGGTATTTTATTTTAGCAATTCCACTGTTCTAATGCTATTTACTCTATTGTTAAAATCAAATGAGCATATCAGTTTGGACTGATTCTGAAGTGTTCCGTTTGTTGATTGATGGGTCTGTTCTGGACCAATGGCACATTGTGTTGGCTGCTGTACTTTAAAATCAGGTACAGTTGTGGTGATTCCTGTCCCTGTGTTCTTTCCACAAACATTTTAAAATCAGTTTATCCATATACACAAACATACTGCTGGACTTTAGATTGAAATTGCTTGGAACCATTTCGGTGAGAGCTATAGTCTCCTTTGTGGAGCCATAGGTTCTAACCACCTAAATTCACAGAGCACAGTGTAAACTGGAATTGCTTATGGGACGCTTGGAGACATGGCTCAGTCGGCTTAGAACGCTTGCTGCTCTTTGCAGAGTATCTGTATTGGGTTCATAGCATCCACCCAGCAGCTCACAATGGTCTGTAACTCCAGTTCCAGAGGGATCTGACACCCTCTTCTGGACTCAGCAGCAACAGGCACCCCTGTGGTATACACACATGCATGCAGGAGCACTCTCATACACATAAAACAAAAGCAAATAAGTCTCGTAAAAATTGCCTACAGGAAGTATGAGTGGCAGTAGTAATTGCTGTTTTATATTCTTCTTTTGCCAGATGACCAGTCAGGTGTAGGTAAAGAGCTAGAAGACAGGCTGAAGAGAACAGAGGTTATTTTTGTTTGGAAGGATCTAGTATGCCAAGTAGAGCCACGTGGAAAAGACATCAAGATGAAGCAGTCAAGAAGAAGGCAGACACAAAGGGAACATTTAGGCCACTGTCACTGAGTATTCTTTGGGAAGACAAGACAAGGCAGAGCTGGGTAAAGGTTCAGGACTGGCTAGCTTGAACTGTTTCCATAGGCTCTAACCGAGGGGTCGATTTTCATTGCATGGCACCTGATCCTGGGATGACTGAAGTGGAGTTTACACCGGAAGTGCATCTGTGGGTTATACATAAAGACCTGCCCACAGGTCTTCTGTCTCTAGGACTGCTGAGCCTCTGCAAAGGGCATACTTACCTAGCCATAAAGGTAATAGGTAGTGTGTGCACGCATGTGTGCAAAAGACCTGGGAATAGAGCCCGGGGCTGTGCATATGGGAAACATATGAAGCAAGTGGTCTTTCCTCCCTCCTTCCTCTATGTCACCAAATAATTAAAATATTTTACGAGTCTCAGACTGGCCTTTCTGATTCTTATACAAATAGTAACTAGTTATCCAGGACATATGCAATACTCAGGCCATGCATGAAAGATGAGTACTGTGGCAAGCAAGGAGGTTTGACATTTGACTAATTACCCATGTGATCTTAGGCAAATCAATTATTTGGAGTTTTTGTTTTCTCAGTTATGAAAAGAAGATAATGATCATTATAATAAAAAGTTAGATAAGCTGAGTGTGGTGGTGTACACTTTTTATCTCAGTACTCCTGCGGAAGAGGCAGGTGGATCTCTGTGAGTTCAGGGCCAGCCTGGTCTACATAGTGAGTTCCAGGACAGCCAGAGCTACATAGTAAGACCTTGTCTTGAAACAAACAAACAAACAAACAAACAAACAACAAAAACAAAACAAAAAAACTTAGGGGGGTTGAGTTAGATATATTTGAATACTTACCTCAATGATTTACACATATTCAATATTTTTAATTATTTATACAAGTCCTTTTAATGTATTAAATATAATTCAATTTATCCCCACACCCCCCACACACCTCTTATTACTAAAGTTTGAGAACTTCAAACAAGGCTTGCCCTTATGTGACCTTTTTGTGGATCTTAATAATATCACTTGACATTATATTTATCACTGGCCTTCCATAGGCCCTTGGACTCTATTCTATCATCCCTAAGATGTACTTTTTGATACCCAAATGTCTAACTGGCCTTGTACAAATGTCAACTTTCAGTGTCAAAGTCTGGCACCAGATTCTAGTGGCACATGGATCACTGATGTGACTTTTCCTCTCCCAGCATGAATCTACACTGGGGCTGTCACAGAAGAGGGTCAAGTGGCAATGGGTCAAGTGGCAATGACAGACCGGGGTTGACTTTCCTCAAAACCTAAAATCAGTTTTCCAGTGTCTGGGTGGCCTTTTACCTCGGCTGCTCAGCCTGAGATAAAAGGAGTGGCATTGCTTTGGTTTACCTACTCCTACTAACCTGTGTTGTCTATAGAATATTTCACCCTAAAAAATACCCTCAAGTCACGTTGAACCTAGGACAGATGATGCAGGGGGAGGTAAAGAGATGCTTGAAACCAAAGGAAGGGCAGAGGCATGATGAGGCCACTTCTGGTACCAGCTGATGAGGGAGGTCAATGCAATGTGGAAATTAATATATTTATTTACCAGAGAAAGAAGTCACACACAAGCTGGATGATCAGAAGTGTGGTAGGCTTCCAAGAGAGAGCAAGGTTTTCCCTTTCCTTTCCTTAAATATCTCACCCGTGCCCACCCCCTGTCCACAATATTGTAGGCTCACCCCTACAGAGGCACATCTCAAAATTATCTAAGGTCATATTTGGAGGGGAGGAAGGTGCTGATGTAAGGCAGTGATGAAGGATAGGAGTTTGAAGTCTGATGTCAGATAGATTTGGGTGTGACTCTTGGCATTGAGCAGCTCACCTTACTTCTCTGAATGAACTTAGTGTCCACATCAAATAATGGAAAAATCACAGTGCCTGTGTAGAAATTTGCTATCAGAATTAAGTGGTAGTTTATAGAAAGCAATTAATTTGATACTTTCCTGAAATGTATTAAGTGAATATCATCGTCACTAAGGCCTTGGTGAGCAAGAGTAGCAGGAAGAAACAGATTAATGGGGATGAAAAGCAGCTTGAGGCTTCTGTGCCATCCTATGGGCTGCACTTGAACATTTCTTGGTTGTCAGCTGCTTTTGTGAGCTACAAGAGGAATGCCAAATGTCTAGGTGCAGGTGTGTTCAAACTTTTGATGCTGTGACACCACGTTGCCATCTACAAAATTCTCCCTCGAAAACCACACAGCTGCATTAAAGAAACAATAGCAAAAGTCCATCATTATGTCTTCTGTTTATGACTTTTTGTTGTACCACATTCCTAGTTATACCCGGCACACGTAGCCCATGGCTCAAAGTTGGGCATGCCTAGTAGGGTTCTTTTTCAAGATAACCTGGTGTCCTAGGACTAGTGTGTGTGTGTGGGGGGGTGACGGGGGAGACTCAGAAGTCACCCGATATCTTATTCAGCTGTGTCTTCCTCAGCTCGTGCTTTTACTGTTGTGTGTCTGAGAGGTACAGTTCAGTGAGGTTGTTCATGACCCATCAAGTCATCTTTTCTTCGGGAGGAACATATTCTTTGACTCTCTCTCAAGTAAGAACCATTTGCCCAGAATGGTGAGGAAAGCTGCTTAAATCCCTCCTCAGGGCCCTCACAAGAAAGGCTTGTTCCTGGGTTGATTGTTCTTGACTTAGGAAGGATGTGTAGCAGGCATTTTAACAAGTCTGGTATTGAGACCTGGATACACTGTCATTTTGATGTTCCTCTCCCCTCTTCTGTTAATGTCTGGGATTGCAATGCTGTAATGTGGGCTGATCAAGTGATCAACCTCCGGGCTAAGGTCCTAGCACTGCTTAGCCTTTAAGTGACAGAATCCCATATGTAAAATAGATCAGAACAAGCTTGTGGGTTTCCTTGTTTGCCCTCCTCACCTCCTGCAACAGCTACTAAAGGCTTCCAGAGACAGCAGGGAAACAGTTTGCATTACACCACAGTCAGATCCTGTTAGATTTTTTCCTGTTGTTCACAATCCCATGTTCTAGTCCCTTGGTGTCAGGAAGTCAAGGGAGCAGGTTCATGAGAGAATTTCTCACTTTACATCCACAGCCAAGAGCAAAGAGCATTAAGTTGATACATACAGCTTGGTTTTCCATCTCTGTTTTACCCAGCCTGGGATCCCGGACCCAGGGAATGGTCCTGCTCAAAGTCACATGGGTCTTTCCACCTTAGCTAACCCAATTTTGATAGTCCATCACAGGAAGTCTCAAGTTATCATTAATCTAGATAGTTCCTCCCAAGTGTTTTTGGAAACTTGCCTCCTAGATGTCAAGTTGACAATATGGACCTTCATAGACAGCTCCCTGCCTTGTACCAGCACTTTCTGTGCAGGTCTTGGGCCAAAATACTGACCACAGCTTGGTATACGAGCAGCTGCATCCTAACAAACAGGCTTCTATAGTAACAAGCACTTAGCGGTTACACTTCCCCTTTTCAAATGCTACAGCAGGTAGAGCCATTGGTGGGGCTGACTGAATGTTTAGGAAACACAGATCTGGGTATGTAATGAACTGTTGCACCCAACACGTGTACAGGAAGCATTTGGGGATTCTGAGTCAGGATGTGCTTCAGGTAATAAAGACGAAATATACTGATTTTCATGTACTTTGCATTTGGGTGAGCTCTCTGCCTATTTTACACAGAGGGCTACTTCTCCCACAGGACCTAGCTCAACTTCAAGCATGTTCTTCTGCCTCGTGACCTGCTGATCTTCTTTCTCCCACAGGTTACAGATGCACATGTTGAATGGAGCTCTTCTGGCATTGCTGTTTCCTGTGGTAAATACCCGACTGGTAAGTAGCCTCTTCTAGAAATGAAGCAGCAATATCTAAATCAGTATATGCTCACTCCTTTGCTATCCAATGTTTCTCCTGAGTCTTTGCCCTTATGGTCATGTGATTTTAATTTGTGTATGTTAATGTTGATGTTTGACACAGTCATGTCTGGAGTTAATGGAGGCTTGATGGGGCAAGAGTATTTTGTTAGACTTGAGCTACAGCAAGGGTTTAGATCAGAACTAGAAAAATCAAAACTTTATGTAGAAATTGGACAGGTTCTAGGGAAAGTAATGAATCTAGGACTGCACCCTTAGGCTGAGACTTCTAGAACTTTTAAGGGGACACAATGGTGTAGAATACCATGCTAAGGAGCCTCAAAACATGTGTGTTTTGCCAAGGACCCCTTTGAGCAAGCACATTTCTTCTAGGTCCACTCAAATCCACAGGACAGAGTGGGTCACTTGCTCCATCTCCAACTTCAGGAGAAGCGGGAGCTACAAGGCTGGGGGAATAGTATATTGCCTAGATTCCTACATATGCGGCTCCTGAGAAATTAGTGAGACACTTTTGAAAGTCCAGGGGACAGGACAGTGGTGGCGCACTCCTTTAATCTCAGCACTGGGAAGGCAGAGGTAAAGAGGAGTTTGAGGCCAGCTTGGTCTACAGAGTAAGTTCCAGGACAGGTAGGATTGTTACATAGAGAAACCCTGTCTTGAAAAACCCCAAAAAGAAGGAGGGAAGGAAGGAAGGAAGGAAGGACAGAGTAAGTCCAGGGAAAATCACCTTTAAAGATGGATAATATAGCTTTATGCTTTCATGACTTAAGTCTGCCTCCTAGATGAGCATCATAGCTTAACCATTGAAGTGAAAATTCCTATTTTGGTTAGAATTTTGTAGTTTACAAAGTCTTTTGATATGATAGGGTTTGGGGTATTTTTTTTAGGTAGCCATATAGGACACGTATTACTGCCTCTTGTTTCATAGGGGAAGAAACTGACATTCAGGATGTCATCTGAATTTTAAGTGACAGTTAAGAGACAGTCAGAGCCTCTCAGTCCTAAAGTCAGGCTACACACTACTCCTTCTGAAGAATGCCATCATCTTCTCTCCATAGACATTCCTCAATACTGTAAGTTGTGCTAGTCTAGATTTATATAATGTGGCAGTAGAAATTACAAGGGAAAGTTCATCTAAAGCAGTGATTTTTGAACCTTCTCCCTGTGCTCTTGGACCCATCAGATTGTTATATTAGCTGGGCTGAGCTTTAGCTCAGTACTAGAATGTCTGCCTAGTAAATTCAAGGTTCTGCTACCCATCCCAAGCACCGTGAAACAAAGAAGCAAGTAAGAAGGCTTACGGGCTCCCACAGCCAGGGCAACTGATTGACAGGACAGTAATGGATAGACCCTCAAGTGATGCCATAGCAGGGCTCCTCAGACTGTCCAGAGACCCCTTATGTTAGACACACATAATTTAGCTACTCCAAGTGTGGCCTGAAGTTAAGCATCAACTGGGTGTTGCTTGTTAGAAATGTTGGGGTTCAGGCCCTACCACAGGTTTACTGTATCTGAATCTACTTATATGGTACCTTAGATGACCTAGACCCTTTCCTTCAAGGAGCCCAAAGCATCTTTTTGGTTTTTCGAGACAGGGTTTCTCTGTATTGTTTTGGAGGCTGTCCTGGAACTAGCTCTGTAGACCAGGCTGGCCTCAAACCCACAGAGGCCTGCCTCTGCCTCCCGAGTGCTGGGATTAAAGGCATGTGCCACCAATGCCTGGATTCCCAAAGCATCTTATAGGTGGAGCATTTGGGCTGATGTGAAATGAGAGATGGTAGGCTGTGTTGTTTCTGATTTAATGGGTGGGTTCATTCTGATCAGTGTTCCCTTGTAAAATGGCATGAGTACTCACAGATTGCATCATAGGCACAATTGCCCTCAATTCCATGTCCCTCATAATATAATTTTCCCAAATTAACCTGCTAAATTGTAGATTCAGAACTTGTGCCTTGGGCCTTCAACTGTAGCTCAATAGGAGAACATGTCCTTCCGGTGTACAAGACCTCCCCCAGTACCAAACAAACAACCACAACAAAACACCTCTCCTTGGTCCTCAGAACAGAGGGCATCATGTATCACAGAATGTAGTGGATAACCCAAATTAACAGAATAAACTTGTGCTTTAAGAAAATAACTGATTTTGTACCCCATTGCTCTTCACTGCCTGTGGCTTGGGAATGTGAAGCAGAAATTGCTCTCTGCCTGTGGGCAAGGACACGCTCTTCTCTTGTCACATCTTGCTCCTCACCTGGTTCCAGTTCCCAGGAGACTGAGAGGCCACGTGACCAGAGAGCTGCTGTCTTAATTTTCCTCAGCTCTCTCAGCTACCAGGACCACCAGTACAGAGGTTGAGGGCACCTCAGAAAACCATTCCCTATACTTCATGGAGCCAATGAGTCTGAGTTTGAAGGTGGCTAGCCCGGAGTTCTTGCTAAACAGCCTGGGCCACTTGTGATTCTGTTCCCAGTGATAACCAAGGAACTGCTTCCTGGTAGAATCCTGAGCACATAGCAGAAATTAAGTAAATAGGGGAATGAAAGCCTTGCCAAGGGTCTTGGTCACACACCGGAGGGCATCTAGGCTGCTGGTGGTGAGGTTTTCACTGAGATACTATTGTTAACAGCAACTGACTGTGTCTCCTGTTTTCCTCAGCTTGTTATCAGTAACTACAGGGGCAGTAACCTCTGCTGCCACTTCATGAGTGCCTCTTTTGTTTCAGGTGCTGCTGTAACTGTTTTGAATGAGTAGATTTAGTTAATCCTTATAGCTTCCAAGGCAGTGTTAAATTATCATATCCAAGGTCAAGATGTTGTGGGGAGGGTGGAGAGGTGTCTCAGAGGTTAAGAACACTGGCTGCTCTTCCTGAGGTTCTGAGTTCAATTCCCAGCACCCATGTGGTGGCTCACAACCATCTGTAATGGGATCTGGTGCTCTCTTCTGGTGTGTACGTATTATAAGCAGGCAGAACCCTGTATACATAAGAAATAAATCTTTAACAGAAAAGATGCCAGTAAGATTGGCTTCTTTACTTTCTTTGGCTTGAAGATGGCAGCCATCATGTGTTTCTTCTCATGAATTTTTGGTGTGATCAACTGTTCATGAAGACATCTATCACATTGGATCAGAGCACATTCTAATAGCCTACTTTCACCTTAATCTGATCTGTAAATCCCTGTCTCCAAATACACTCACATTGCAAGGTACCCAGGATTAGAACTTTGACATATAAACAGGGAGTTACAGAGGATTGGGGTCCGTGATTCCTGTACTGTCTTACACAGATAACCTTGTTTCTTCCTGCTACCCCTTGGGTTTTTTCTTTCCCTGGTTTCTTTCCTTCACCCCTTTCCTCTTCTCCTCTCCCTCCTTTTCTGTCTTTGTCCCCCCTCATCTCTTTTTTTCCTTGCCCTTGTCATGGCATGGTATGGTTACAACAATACACAGTGCCAAGTTATGGTCAAGCAGCGTATCAAGACTCTGCACGACTTTTCCTGTCACTGGATCTTCAGAAGAAGTGAGTCGAGCCACCCATTGTAAACTAAAGCTGAACAAAGCTCATGTCTCCTGCATCTGTCTGTGGAATTGGTAGTGCTCCGGCTCATTCTTGCAGCCGGGCTCCTCTTGAGCGCCCTTGGCCTTTGAGGCAGCCGGCTTTGCAGTGGTGGAGTTCAGATGGGCTTTAAATGAGACGCAGGGTGGCTGGCACTTTTTGCTTAAATCTGATGGTCCAATTAGGCAGGAAAAGCAGCTTTGACTTCTCTTTTGCCTTTCCTTCTTGGCCCTTTATCTGCTTACCCCTTTTTCCTCATTAGCAATAATGAGGAAGTAGGAAAAAGAACCAATTAGTGGTGTGCCCATCCTACGACATGTGTGCACTTGCATTGCACTAAAGCAGGGTGAGAGGGAGGTCAGGAGGTCGCCACAGTCAGATAAAGGATTTGAGGACATCAGTGAATTTCCGTGTGAACTCTTCTACCCTGTGACTGATTGCCAACAGGGTTTGCAGGTCATCTGGTGAATGCCCCAGTTCTATGGGTTTCTCCATCTTTAAACCTAACACCCTAGATGAAGGACCTCTATCTCAGTGGACCAAGTTACAAGTAAGTGCTCCTTCTAGCTAGGATCTAGCTTGAGACAGGCATCTTCAAGGCAATTTGCAGTGGTGTGGCCTTTAGCTTCTTAAAGGCAAGCGGAGGAAGCACATCGTGGAACCACTGCTTAGTTAGTCAGGTGGGCAAAGTTCCTGTGATTTGACCTTATCTTCTGGTAGGAAGATTCCCCCCTCCCTCCCTCCCGTCTCTCCTTCCTTCTTTACTTTCTTTCTGCTGTCCCAGGCTTCTTTTTATAAAAGCAAAACGATGAGTGATTGGCTCATGGTCAGTGGTGTCACTGAATGTCATCTTCCCTTCAGCTACCTCCCACAACATTTCCTGTTTGCTGTCCTTTTGTGCTTCCAACCTCTCCTCAGTAACTGAAGAACTTAATCCCCAGACTGTGGTGGTACAGGCTCTAGGTTCTCTTCTTCTCTCCTCCCCTTTTCATCTGTTCCCCACATCCCCGGGCAGGGCTAACGCCTCAATCTCAATGTATGGGAGAGCCCGGAGCAGTGACAGGAATAGAGGGAAAGGCTTCATCCTTGGGAAAAAGGGATCTCAGAGGGAAGTGGCTGCCCCTGTGGCCTGGAGCACCACACCTGGACCCTGAGGACAGAGAAAAGGGTAGAGACCAACACCCCCCCCCGGAAAGGAGACCTTGAAGCCTCACGCTCCTCTCATTGGGGATAGTGAATGCTTGATTTCTTGCTTTCCTGGCAATTACAAAAGCACACTCAGACTATTTCCTTCTCTAGTCCAAGCTGTTTTGCTATGAATTGCTGATCTGCTGAGGGTGGATTTACAGGAACATGTTCTCCAGGTTCCTTTTTATGTGGTTCTCGATGCTCTGGTTTCTCTTGTG